AATCGTGATGTATCTGAGAAACAAATGGATATCAACATCATGAAGACGATGTTGTGTTTCTGGGTTGTGCCTCCGTGTAGATCTGTGGTAAGGTATCAGTGTTTCGGAGAATCATTATGTCACTATCTTCACGGCGTCACAACCCAGAACAACAACACAGTCATCACCGCTGTGAGAATATCAAATTTCACAGAACATTTTCATTTGATACGAATATTCAACTAACAATTGTGAACTCACTCATTGACGTCGGTTGAGACAGAAACAGTCTAAGTGCTTTTCGTGCCGAAGACTAAGGGGTTAAATAAACATAAATCACACTGAAATAATATCAGATCACCAGTTTCAGTCATGAAAAGTGCTTTACTTTTTACAATAATCACATATATTAGAACATGTGTTCCTTTACCCAGTCATGTTTTCAGCACATTCCAACATCATAATGACGCTTCAAGGATAGTAGAGACCACGTATCTTAACCTTTGGGATGTAACATTTTTTCCCCAGAATTTCGTGCTGCGTCGCGTGTCTGTACAATTATTATTATTAGTGTTCGGTCTGGCGACAGGTCCATATGAACAGGATCCTTCCATCCTTTTCTCGGACTGGGACCTGTTCATATACGTTCTTGGCAGATGATCCAGAAGTGGTTTGCCATTGCCTTCTTCTGTGTGTGAATGGAGTAATTGTTGGGATGCCACGGAGGAAAACTCCGTGTTGCCTAGACCACGGCCTTGCCCAACACAAGTTATAAATTCGGGAACCGCCGGGAATCGAACCCGAGACCCCAGGATTACAAGGCCAGCGTTCTAACAGCTAGACCACCGTGGTAGCCGTCTGTAGAATACCATAAGAATATGAAACTGGGAAAAATATATTCACTATTTCTTAAGAAGTTAATAGGCCAGATTAACTTCGCCGAGTTGGGTTCTTATTGCAAACTTCATAATCGTGACTGAGAATAATCATCTTTCTGTGTCATTAGACTTTTTTGTGATTTATGCAGTTTAAACAGAGTCGTTAAGTAACTTGAATGAATAATCAACATTAGATATTTTGTTCCAACTTCGCTTTAGGCTGCTAAAGTCTTTTTGATGAAGTTTACCAGTCAAACCGTTGAGCGTGCTGTGGCCTCATACATTCTACACGAGCAGACGATTTCAATTTTGCTCAATTAACGCCTTAACATTACCAGACGATGAAGATATCGTATTTAACATGCAAGGGTTTACTGTGGATTATCCACATGCTGATTGTGTCCCAACCTCCAGCTACTAGCAACCCAGAATATTGTATGCAGGCTCTCTGTGGTTGCTGTCGTCAATGGAGACAATGTATAATGTAAATCCCACCCAATTGTTGCCAGAGATAACGAAGGTTAAGAAAATAGCAGTTTGGTGACGGCGACTGTAGTTACTACGTCTCTCACCTTGTCGTGGTTGTGACGATATCAGCCAGGACCGAGGGTCGCTCCCGTCGTATTGTGACGTACTCTACCGGATCGCCTAATGGCTTGCGTCTTTCGTCGTTCGTGAACGCCACGTCTTCTTCTTCTTCTTCTTCTTCTCTCCCTCGTCCTCCTTCCTCTCCCCTTTCCTCCTTCTCCTCCGAATCTTGAGGTTCAGGTGTTGAATGTCTGTGGTAAGTAATATAACATATGTAATTTGTGTATGCGTACGTCTTTCTAAATCTGGTAATGTTAAAATCGCGAATACCAATATAATATAGCGCTAAAGCATGCATATTTAATTAATTATTCCTTCAGTCCTTACATAAAGTACATAGCATGAACGCATAATGTGGAAGTCTTGTCTAATCTAGTCGCCTTTCTATGTCTTTCATCAACTTCCGGACACTTAACTGCCCATCCATATTTATTTTAGGGAGATTCTGGGTCTCAATCTCGGTCAGGAGACAAGGCGTCCCGAAAGGGTTTTCATAATTTACTCAGTCCCTCCAACCAAACGTTGGGAAAAAAAAGCCTTAAAAGAGAGTCCACGACCGGTTCCTTCCAGATCCGTCCTAGGACGTAGTAATCCTGTCACTTGTCACTACGTGAGTAATATAGATGACATAGCGATTTTAAATAAGCAGCCTAAAGAAAATACAAGTAAGTAGAGGAAATAAAATTGTATTCAGTCCCTCCTGACAGTAAAACTTTAGTAAAAATCGTGTCATGAAGGCGTATGTGGGGAATGGAGGTTTAGATCCACGCATTCTTCATTTGTTCAACTGCGGCTGTACCTCCGATGTGCAAAGAGTAATAATGCGCTTGTCATCAGATTTCTCGTTATGCGCCTTCTTGGCATATTTTAAATATCACTAAAAGACTAAGTAGTGAGTGAATGGAAATTTATTTTATTTACGTGATTTCCCTTTCTTTCTTTATTTATTACGCCATCTGCGTTATTCGCGTAGAGTCAGAGGACGATTATCAGTTGCAAATGACATTGGAGAAACCGGTCGTGGACTATTTTAACTCTACTTTCAGGTAAGACAGAATTTTATACATATATTTATTTTTCACAGTCTATACACAAACTTATTTAAAATAATGTTGTTAAAATATTATAACATTTACAGTATAAAGTATATTATGTTATATTTATGGCGCTCCTTTATCGTAGTACGACATTACATTATTCAGCGCTTTTATTTTTGTTTTTGGACGACATGTTTCGATGTTTTATGACATCATCTTCAGGTTTATCAATTTATATTATTTTAAAAACTATTATACATTTTGATGCATTGCATTTATTGATCTTTTAGTATGTTTGTAGACTTTTATGTCTTCATAATTGATCTGGTGTCTGTATTTAGACGTTCATTATCTGTGGAATTAATTTCCAAGTGTTATTATGCAAATTTTGGTATGGAATTAACATAGGAAATAAATAAATATTAATATGATTGTAAATATAAAATATAATGAAAAACATACCAAGTTTGTATTTGTGACGTATCCTACGTCTGATAGCAGGAGACGATAATTTTATGTTGGTTATTAACTACGGAAGAAAATATTAATTGATGATGTATTGATTGCTTAATGAGGGGGGCCATTGCTTTAGATTCGATGAAAAAATTGTGGTGTAAAATTTAGCTCAGCGTGGCTTACTGAACAGATTTCATCAGCTTACCTCTCCCTCTGAATTGTCACGTATTGAGGTTTTTCTCGTCGAAGTGCCTTTACTTCGTCAAGACCTTCGAGACCCTCGTTCTGTGGTTTCACTGGTCGATTCCTGTACAGGGACGTGTACCTGTAACGTAAAACATGGCGGCTCGATTTATATACATGAAGTGAAGAACTCCAGCCAGTTCGTAGCGATCTCAAAATTTAAGTAAATATGCCCATTTCATGTTCTAAAAATACTGAGTGCGGTTGTCTGCTGGGACTCTTTATAAAGGATCTGAGAGAAATAAATTTTGGAAAATTAGTGTTCTAGACCAGTCGTTGCCAGGTGGGTCATTATTTAAAATAATTACAATATTTTCATAAATAATGTTTCACAGAAATGACGAAGGGTAAACAAAGGAAATGTGTGGGGCCTAAATATTAAATTACACGTCCGTGTTTCATTAACATTATAATTTATTGTTAAATGTATAATTTTTCAGAAACCTGTGATTTTATAAAAAATTCTTAATTTACAGGCGCATTTAACTAAAATTTTCAACTACCCTCTTGACAAGCTGATGTTCAGCTACTGTTCAACAGCCCGCCCCTGGACCGTATCAAACATCATTTTAATCCGGTCCAAATCCTCGTATTCGTTTGACATCCAAAGTAACATTTATACGTTTTACAAATAGGTCTCCTTGGCGGCCTACACCCTTCACGTCTGCCGAAAAATGAATCTGCTTGGATCATTCACCGCCACCATATGTGCAACATGCCCCGTCCACTCTTCCCTCTTTAGTTACCGACTTTAATAATATAAGGCGAAAAGAACAATTTACGAGCCTTTTTTTAATATTATTCTTTCTGTGCTCTGTCTATCGGACCCAACAAGCATTTTGGCCTGAAGATGGGAGTAGAAGTTACTACTAGAGCGTTGTGGCTTCTTTCTAAGAGTACTGAATGTTGAAACAAGCCAAGATAAGTGAAACGCACCATCGTTCCTACCTAACCTGACATAACCTAACCCAGAGCTCTGTAGAGTTAGTTGTATTACGACTCTAATCATTACGAGGTGCGATCTGAAAGTTTCAAGACTGTGTCAATAGAGGGCGAACCGGATGTAGTACGAGCTTCTGCCGCTAGGGGGTGCTCTCTCCCAGGGGAACTACTTCGAGGGTGATGGATGAATTTAATACCTGAGATAAGTGTACGGGTTTTTATAGGCGCAGTCTGGAAACTTTCCGATCGCACCTCGTATGAGGTGTTTCTAACGCTGCATCTCACGTAGCTACAAACTTCGTTTTCACACACACTCACTCTCTTTGTTGTTGTTGTTGTTGTTGTAAAGAGGATAGCCAGTGAAAGCTTAAACAATGGACTGGAGATCTGTACTCTGACTTTCCAGCAGAGACTGATGAAGACCGATGAAATTATAGATAAAGTGGATGCTCGAGGTGGTTCTTTAACGAACTCCTCTATGGAAATCTGAGTTGTAGTCACAGCTCGATTGTAGCATTTCAAGGAATCCGTAATCTCCCTTCCCACCTTGTGTCATGACCATCGTTGTAAGGCTCTAGCAGGTTCAGCCTCCTCAAAACTTGAGTCCGATTCATCTCTGACGCGTTCCATCTCCATAGCCAGATCTTCTTTGCCCAGGTCCTTCCGGTGAGATTACAATTGGCCCTTATTTTCTTCATCAACCTCCTCAAATCCTACGTCCTAGGCCTTGTCGAAAATGACATCCTCTGTTTCAGTACTCAATCGTAAAGTGCTGACGTCAATTGAAGTCTCAGGCCGGAGTTTCTTCCACACGCTAGGACTAGCGAATG